GAGTCATCTTACCTCAGTGTGATAGTAATGAAAGGAAGTTTATCCTTAAATCCCTTCTTCTGCCTCTTCATTTCCCCAGCAGCAATTTCTTTCCTCCCCTTCTTCTGAGTTTACTTTTTTTTTTTACACAGATTGTATGTGGCTTTCTTCTCAGGTAGCAGTAATATAAAGGGTGTGAGTTGTGACACACGAGTTCTGCAAGTGAAAATGTGGTGGATTCTTTCAGCAGAGTCTGGCTGGTACTTGCTCGCAAATTAGAAACTCACTCTGACGAATTTCATGTTGAATGTAGACAGCTGGCAAGCAGTGAGCCTCTCCTGCTTGTAAATGACTCTGCTAAATATATGGATGAGCAAAAATTCTTATGTGACAACGGAAGCCAGTAGGCAGATTCTCTGATAGTATATTAGCAACAAAGTACTCCAGAAGCTTTGAGGTTCTCTTAGACTAAGAGGATGTTTATGTGTGTTCAGTTGAATACCTCGGCATTAGTGTGCCTCGGCTGCGTGCAGAGTATGTCTGACTGTGGTGATGGATGTGTGAACCACAAAGTACAGCTTGAGAGGATGCTTCTTAGTCACTTAAGTATTACTTCACCTGCAGTTCTGCAGAAGATGTAGTGACTGACTTATGTCATGATGTGTCACTGGTACTTTCAAACTTAAATTAGTTGTGTTCATGTCCTTTTTGCCTTCTAGCATGGCAAGTATTTCTGCCACTGCCTTAAAGAGAACTTTTATGTTACATTGCTAGAACTCAAGGGCTTTTTGATCATTATTAACTGAATAGAGATTTGAATTAGTATCAGTTTTAAGAAGGTAACCAAACTCTGGTGTTAAGTTAAGCTTTTAAATGTTGTCATATTTCTGTCATCCAATGGAAGGTTCCTGTCTCTCAGGAAAGCACAATGCTGTTCTGTAAGCAAAGAAAATCACTCTCTCATGCTGTGGCACAGTATCATGTTTCAGCCAACAAAATACAGATATTCTTTATAACATCATGTCTCAGCTTTCAGCTTTTCAGTTTGTAGATACTCAATTTTTGATGCTACTGCTTCAGACATGCTACATGCATGCTTTCTGGGAAGTCCCTGGAAAATTTAATGATGACTTCATCTGCTTGGACAGTCGAACCATCATGACGGAAAACATATTAGCTTCTAAAACTTCAGGAATTCACACACACACACATAGACTGGGTTTGTCTAGCAGCATCTGTGTTGACACAGTTGGGGTAGCTCTGTTTAAAAAAAATAAAAAAAAATAAAAAAAAACCTTCAAACTGAAGTTCATAACTTCCTTGCTATAGAAACACTGCTGCAGTTCTGCTAAAATTCAGTGCATCTCTACTATTGTGACTAATGCTGTGTTTTCGACTGAGTTCCAGTTTTCTTGTGAAGCATCAGTGTTGAGAGACATGGAAGTTCAAAGGAGCAGCTAAATTCGTAATCTTCAGTTGAGCAGCTTAGCAACGTTGTCCTGGTTATAGAAGCTACTTCAAGGAACATTAGGCTTTGACTCAAAACACTGGCTTTTTGGTAATCCTTTATCTGACTCCCTCGCAGACATCAGTGCAGCATTCCAATCTGCCCAGCCAGCATTGCTTAAGGAAGAGTGTTTCCTTCCCGTTTTTTGATACTGCATTTCTTTTACATCGCTCATTGCAGCATAGTTCTCAGCCAAAAAATAATTTTGAAAGAGCTTTTTAAATTGCTTTATAGGTATAAATATGAGCAATCTCCTTAATACAAGTGTATTTCTATGATACAAGAGAGCCTTTGCACCATGGCAAAGGGTTGCTGTCCCAAAAGAAATGCAGAGGTAATACTTGCTTTCTCAGAACTCATCAAAATTCATAAAACTTGCAAAATAGTAAATTGCTGGTGGCAAATATTACAAAGCCAACAAAGTCATGACTGAGGAGAAAAAAATAAAGTAGTATTAGTGCCAGTTGTAAATGGAAGCTTTCAAATAGGAGAACTTCTGTCTGTCCAGCCTGAATGTATAACCTGTACTTAAGGTCTTAAAATAAATGCTACTTCTCTGTTTTTAAAAGGTCTCAGTTCTATTAACATGGCTTAAGCTCCATTGTTGTCCTATTCAGGAACAAAAATTTTTTTACGCATCTGTAAGATGCATAATTTTAAGACTCACATGAAAGGCAAGATGCAAAACTATACTGTTATGGGAAGCATGTGATGAGAATACCAGTGGGGGCAGAACTGCAACATGTTTTTGCTGCAGAAGTATTGTTGATAAAATATGGTGAATTTCAAAGAATAAATGTTACTTCGTCTCCTTAGGGACAAAAATAGCTCATTGCAAATTATATGCAATAGAATACCCAATGGACAGACTGCTTTAGGTAGTACATACCTAAGTTTTCCACATAATCTTGTAATTTAATATACATCTCGATCTACTAATCTGAATTTGCCTGCTCTCGTTCTTGGGGTCTTCATGGCTTACCTCCATTTATTTAACTGAGCTTTATATGCTATCAAGTTACACTCTTTACAGTACCAGTTAGTGCAATTCTTTCCCCACACGCTCCTTTTGCATGAGGAGCTTCAGAGTCTTCGAATCTGTTACGCTAACCACCTTAGCTCTGTCACCCATCTACCCCTGCTGTGCTGCTTGCAAGACTGCTGGCTGACTTGGCGGTTACTGGGAGAAAATGTATCTTACTGGTGGTGTCATTTTATGAGTTGATGGTGTCATTATTGCTGCCTTTATCCGCTCTGTTCTGTTCCTGTTTTCCTTTACGCTTCTGTAGTAAAATTCTGGGACATGATATGTTGGCGTGTGTGTGGATAAGGTAGGGTAGTGAAATAAAAAGAAATGGTTTGGCATGTCAAGGACACCTGCTGGTAAATAGTTTGTGCTAGCCCAGACTAGAGGCGAATCTCAGCAGTAATATGGTCTTGGCAGAGGAATGTACAGATCCATCCGTGCCTTACTTTACATTAAACATACCTACATGGCAAAGAAAACTCAACAGCAGTAATCACGCTGCACAGGTTTAACCGATATGTTTATGCTTTTAAGCAGCATATTTTTTATCAACTGCAAAATATTCTTGTATCCTTTCAGTAAATCAAAAGTTATACGTTTTTTTGGTTGGAAGAAAGTGAAAGACCTGTAATGGCCTTTATAGAGACATGAAACCCTTTCCTATGAAATGTCATAACTATTTGACCTTAACTGAGTTTTCACTTTCTTGGAGCAGTGCAGTATATCTATTTAAAGATGCTGAAGAGATAAGAGCAAGAAATTTCTGAGACTTCTTCAAAGGGGGTTGATTTGACTGTAACATTAGTGTCTTTATTTCTGTTGGGTTCCCCCTTCCCCCCCCAGCTCTTTGTTTGTGAGGTGCAACCACCGGTCAAAGGCTTGTCTTCTGTCTTCCACTGTAAATTATCACATGAAAGTTCTGAAAACATCTGTGTAATCCCTTCACAAAACCATTCATTGTCAGATGTAGATCAGATTGCAGTCTTTTTTTCATTGTCAGATGAATTTAATTATCCCAGTAGTACATCTTGTTTTCACACTGTATTCTGTGAATTTTGTGCAACGCAATGCTTACTTATTTAAAATAAGTGCTTAAAAGAATAGAAATGGAGAAGCCTAACAGTCTTAATTGGCTAACAGATCAGATCTGTGGTGAGTTTCTTGCTGCATTAATCCCTGAATTCTAATCCATGCTTAGGGTGATTTAGCATTACTATTGGTTTCTGATATTTTATTGTTGTGATTTATACGCACTTTCTTCTTAGGTTTGGAGGGTAGTTTGGATTTCATTATTTGATACTCAATTGACTCTTCTAGTAAACAGATTTACTAATGAAATACTTTCTATCTCTTCACTCAATAGCTAGAGATGATTGCCATGGAAAATCCTGCAGACTTGAAGAAGCAATTGTATGTTGAATTTGAAGGAGAACAAGGGGTAGATGAAGGAGGTGTTTCCAAAGAATTTTTTCAACTGGTTGTGGAAGAAATCTTCAATCCAGATATTGGTATGTGTTCTAATAATTTACTAATTTATCAGATTTTTCCTGTGAAAGGTTGGACCAGATGATCTTTCAAGGTCCCTTCCAACCTGGGCTGTTCTATGGTTATGCAATGCCTTTCTACATCTGCTGCTGCTTCTCTCTGAACCTGTCCAGGTTTCTTGGTGATCATGAGAGTACTTGACCCATTGAGGCTCAGTATTTCATCGTCAGTCATCCTCCTAAGGAGGAATGATGAAAGGTATAACTGTGTATAGTTAGTGAAAGCTACCATTGCTTGTTTAGATATAAATCAGTATAGGGTTTCTTTGCAGGGTTCCTTTGTTTGTTCTCTCACCTTTCTCCTCGCTTTGCTTTGTGATTAGCTTCTAGAATTAGTAATCAAACCAAAGAGGAAGAGCTTCTGCAATAAAACCAGAGTAGGACTATGGTGAGTTTTTGAGTTATTTCCTCCCCTTCCTCCAGCTTAAAAAAAAATCTGATAGTCTCAGTTCTTCTAACGATTTCTTCTAAAAGGGGTACAGATCCAAAGTGTGGCAGTAATGTCGAGTTTAATTGTAGTTAGCTAAGAACTAAGAGTCATTTGCTATATCAGAGCCCCAGTTTTATATTTGTGTTTTAACAGTCACATTTCCATCTTGCTGTTTTTTCCCTTGCTCCCTGCACCGGTCTTTTATGCTTCCGTTTTTATACATGCAAGGACAAGCTGCTTTTAATATGCAGCTTGTCTGCTGCTCTGAAAAGATTAAAATGTTTTAAAACATTATGAATACTTTGTGTTAGAATAGAAATGAGACCTACCAGGTTCCTATACTAATTTCATAGTTTTGTGAAATATGATGTCGCATTGTAGTTCCTGTAATGGCTTCCATTAAAGAAGCTCAACAGCTTATGGCCATTAGTTAATTTGGGTTCATTGAACTGTTTTAAAACAGAAAGCCGTTGTTCTTGGTTTTGTAGCTTAGAAAATTGATGAAGAAACACAGAAATTCATTTTGAACCGGTTAAAGAGGAAGTCCCCAGAACTGGTAACAGAATCTGAACCTTGGCACTTGCCCTTCACTGTACACAAGCCAGCTCTTGTAATGAGTGATACAGATCCACAGACAAACCTTACTCTGAAAACTGCTATTAACTTGGAGAGATTTGGAATCTGAATTAGCAAGGTTACTTGGAATAAATTAGAGTATGGCAAAATAAGGAAGTCTTAGTACTTTGACTGACAAAGTTGTATTTCCAATGAGAAATACATTTTTGACCTGAGTTTATATAAACAGAAGTTGTATGGGGTGCCTATATTGAAATACTCCTATTTAGTAATCGAAGTCTGATTCAGCTAAGATCCAGCCAGTGTATGTATTCTCCCTGTGTGTAAAGATGGGTGATAGATTAGATGTGCATGCATGTTTTAAATTTTACTTTTGTATTCAAAATACAGAAAAAAGTACGCTTTTTTCTATTCATATCAACTTTTTTTTAAAAAAAAAAGGCATTTATTGGCTTTTGGCGTAAATGTGTAAAAGCAGAAAATGTAGCTTGCTTTCACAGTCGTCTCTTCTTTTACACCTATTAATATGCACCACAGGATAACAGTTTACACACCATATATACCAAGTGTGACTTTTGTTGATTTGTAAATACTTCTATTTACCTGAGAAAATGAAGGAAATCCTTTAAATGGAATTTAAAATGTCTGTCCTCTGATAGGTATGTGTGGAGTGATGTTTATTGCTGTAATAGTTTCTTTGCCATTACATTTCAAGTGTTTTCATATTAAACTACCTTAAAGTTTTACTCAAAGGAGGCAATAACTCAGGCAAAATATCAGATTTATGACCAACAGTCACCCTGGTAAAAGGGAAGAAGGAGTAAGTTCATATAATATTCCTAGCAACACTATACAATTGTTTTCCTCTTATTGCAGCTTCCAGTTTCTTCTGGTGTTTCATTATGTTTTTAATGTACTATAGTCTTACTTGTGGTCAGTGAATAAAATATTGTATTTCGTGTTAAAGTGTTTCCAGATGTAGATCTGGGTAAACTGTTAGTCCTTCATTATTAGACATTTGCTGGAGTTGTTTGTTTTGACTGTTTAACTCTTCCATCATCTTCCAGAAAGTACAAGTCATTGGTTTTATTGTGCCAGTAATCCAGAAGTTACTTCAGTCAATTCAGAAAATGGAATGCAGGCTTCTATTTGATGTTTCTCCTATATATGCTTGTGTTGCTCATCCATTTCTGATTTCCAGTTGCCTTACCTGATTTGTTAGTCTGTTACTTGTGTGCTCCCCTAATAGCTGACCCTGACTTAGTACCTTACTGAGATAAATAATCTTCAATTTTGGGTAATAGCCAGAGTCTCTGAATGAGTTTACAGTTCATTTCCTTACGTTGAATGCAAATTCAGGCTTTATCTCTTGGCTGAAGGTGACGTCTTATTTTCAGTCTTACGAGTTATTTTGTGGCTCTGTTCATGTGGCTTTGTAATCAATTTGTACATCTCCATAGGTTGTAAGTAAGCGTATCTTTTAAGACTTGACAAGATAAATCCTAGTGGCAGATACAGTTCATGTTCTTGACCACGTGCATCTAACTTCTCGTGTGTGGGGAGGAAGGAGCCTGGGCACTTTTCCTTAGATTCTGCCTGGAAATCATGAGACTTAGCTGTACAAGCAACAGGTCACTGGGACTATACTGGTCCAGGGTGGTGTCTCTCCCTCCCCTTAAGCCTATGGGTTTTGCACTTACCTTGCTTCAATATCTAGTCAGGTAAGCAATGGATTTTACCATGGGACTCATTTAAATAGTTTATAGCCTGTACACAAACTCCAGTTTCATAAACAAGAGCTAATCTAGTGGCTTGCTACAGCCAAAAGGGTAAGGAGCTCTTTGCCCTTCCCTTGTCTGTACACTTCTACCCGCTCCCTCCAGCTTCTGGTTCAGCCATTTGGTGAAGCCTGCTGTGAAGGGAGCCAGCCTGTGAACTTAGCAGGAAATCGGTCACCTGAAACAGTGAGCTGAATCAGGTGAAGGGATAGGGGAACAAAGCGAAACCGCTCCCTTTCAACAGTTAGTCTGTTAAAATTGCAACCCCTCCTGTGAAACAACAGTCACAAGTTATGTTTTCCCCTCAAGTTAGGATGTATGTGATAGCTGCAGCAACTCAGTGGACCTTGTTGAGTACCTTTAAACAAACAAACGAAAAAATCTGTTAGGCATCTAACTCGAGCTTTATATGTGATGATTAATTCCTGCTTTATCAATCATAGCTTCCAGTTCAGTCATAGGGCTGCATCTAGTCCTGTTCCTTTCTTGGAACTGGCCTGGAAAAGTCTTTGAGGAAAGGCTGTCACTTTATAGTAGGTGAATTATTTCATCCACGTGGTTTTTCATTGTGTTCTTTTCTTGCACTGTTGTATTTATCGAAGTTACCATCTATGTTGACAATGTGCTGCTGCTTCCTCGGTAACGGAAGGGGATGAAAGGCTGTGCATGTACAGCTTCAGTGAGAGTGCGGGATGTTGTATCGCAGGTCTTCTGCGTGCTTTTAATGGTATTGTGGGTAACAGTATTTTGAGCAGCTCCAATTACCCTGAGGTAAGTAGCTTCTCTTTGCCATTAAATTCAGTATAATATTAAGTTAAAGATGTTTTAGAGGCATTCTAATGCAAATGGGTTTATAATGGTATGTTTTGCATGTCATTTTTATTGAAATGTAACCATAATTGTTCAACATCATTTTTTTTACAGGGATGTTCACATATGATGAATCTACAAAACTGTTTTGGTTTAATCCGTCCTCTTTTGAAACTGAGGGTCAATTTACACTGATTGGCATAGTACTGGGTCTGGCTATTTACAATAACTGTATACTGGATGTACATTTTCCCATGGTTGTCTACAGGAAGCTAATGGGCAAAAAAGGAACTTTCCGTGATCTGGCAGACTCTCATCCTGTAAGTTCATTATGTTCTTTGAGTTTATTAATGTGTTTTTCATGCAATAACTTAATCTAGATTTCAATTAAATGCAAGATCACTGTCAGAAGTGGAAGCAAAATAACCAGTGACTTGTGTGAAGAGTCTGTATTTGTTAAAATAAATTCATAAGCAATAAAATCTCTTACTACATCTGGTTTGGAGGAGGCAGAATTGTCAAATCAACAAATAGGGCTTGGTATCAATAAAGCTTTGTTCTGTTGGTTTTTTTTTTTACGTACTGCCTAAATTGCTTAATATCACTGAGCACTATTAAGCATAAACTATTATTAATAGTACCTTCCCAAAGAGACTTCTAAAATTAGGCTGTTTATATCCATTTGTAGAAGCAGATTTCTACAAAAAATGTGAAAGTAACACAGTAGACATGCAAAGGTGTGATGCTCATATTTGGTTTTGTCTAAAGCAAAAGACAGATGAGGCAGCTGATGAATATCCCTGCAGTTTGGGAGCAGTGATCAGTGTCCATCTTCCCCCACTCCTCCCCAGCCAGTGGCTATACAAAAACACTAAGCCATGTGCATGCTTTAGTAGATGGAGCATAGAAGCACGTATGCAGGATGACTCGGCCCTGCTCCATCTTCAATCAAAGATCATCGGCAGCTTTCCCTCATGGTAGCTAGTATGAGTTATTAGTGTGCTTCATTTCATTTCAAATGGTGGGACGTTCCCCTTTTTATAAGCAGTTATGCAAAATCTTCAGCTATTCAAAAAAGATGACTAAAATGATACTGTTTAAAAAGAACTTGCCTTTTATTTTTGTTTAATCAGAAAATGAGGCATGTGTAATCAAAAAAATAGGTTATCCAGTCTGCTTTGGATAGCTACATAAAACAGCATGCCAGCTTTGACCAGTTTCTCTGTAAAATAATGTTGAGAGATACACAGTGCTCCCAGTTTCCTGTAGTTTTTATTACATACTTGCAATTTTTTGACAGAAAACGCGGATTTATTTCTGTGGAACAAGGCAGGACATTTCTTATTTTTTCTCCCCTACTCTTAGATAAGTTTCTCCTCTGACACCTACACTGACTTCTTTTAAAATAATCCTTTTCAAATTCTTAGTATTCTAATGTAACTTAAACACTTACTTCAGAGCTTCTCAAACCAAAAGTGAAATTCGGAGTAGTCAAGCCTCACAATGGTTTTTCTAATGCTATAGAGCATAGAGGATAGGGTGTTCACCAGCCCTCACCACCAGCAGTTCCAAGTCCAGTCATTTTCAATGCAAGATATTTTTAAAGGTGCCGTGGAAGAATGAAAAGGATACAGATAGCGAGAGGATGAGGCTTACATGTAAACTTTCAATATTTAAAGCATTGAGGGGAAATTTATTGCTTCTACTTTACTATAAAAAAATATGCTTGCACTCAGTTGTTGCTTTTACCTTCACTTTGCATTTCTGAGTCCTACACCTCTGTCTCAGCCAAAGAATTGCTCCTTTTCTGCATAGCCTTTGGTTTCCAAGAGAGTCTTGGGCTTTTCCTAAGGCATAGCAGGGAAGAAGGCTGGTTGCTCCTTTGAATAGAGCAAACTCTTACAGGTAATTTCAGATTCCACTTGGCAAATTCTGACCTAACTTGTGATATTTTTTTTTGTGCTTACATGTTTTCTTGCTTTAATGAGTGCCTCATCTGTGTTGCTTCAAGATTACTTCCTAGTTCGTTTGGGATTTAAATCAAGATGTAGGAGATAAAAGCCTGCTGCCTGAATTTTATCTGATACAAAATACAGCATTTTCTTTTATTTTTAACACATATATATTCAACTTACCAGTGTAACATGTTCTAGATGCCAAAAGTCAATACAGTTTCAAAAGAGTTAAAAGAGGAAGAGGTAAGCAGTAGCTTTAAAGCTACAGGTCTGACCATTGCATTTAGGAAGATTCCTGGGTACTGGTAGTCTCTTCTAAGGGAGTTATCGCTCATTGCTGTGTTTCTTTTTTGCCTTTCCTTTGTATCTGCTATTGGTTGTTTTTACAAACACTGACCTTAATATACCTTTGTTTGGACTGTTAGGGGAGATCTTAGGGAACTCATGTCGTAGAATGTAACAGCCCTTTTTGAGGCAGGTGATTTCATGTCTTCTGGTAGTACTCAGTGAAATCTATTGAAACTTATTTATGACAGACATGTATTTCTTATTCTGTTAGGTTCTTTACCAGAGTTTGAGAGACTTACTAGAGTATGAAGGAAGTGTGGAAGATGATATGATGATAACATTTCAAATATCTCATACGGATCTCTTTGGCAATCCAATGATGCATGATTTAAAGGAAAACGGTGATAAAATTCCTATTACGAATGAAAATAGAAAGGTACGCTCGATTTTTTTTTTTTAACATAATCTGTAACTTTTTGGTACTCTATGCGGAATTATGTAGGACTCTATAAAGTTTTGTTCTCACTTATAATTTAAGTTCAAAAGCCTTTTAAAATTGCCATAGCACAGTGTAGTTGTAAGCAGAAAAGGCTTTTCTTAAAGAAAACATCGATACATGCATGCATAGCTTCTGGGTGTTGTGTTTGACCTGTTTGAGAAATATTTGAGATGTGCTCTTTATTGTTGCTTAGTAGAAGCTGAGTCCAGATAATCTACATAGAATTATATAGAATTAAATGTATTTTGGGGTCTTTTATTTTTGGGAGATACTTCAAGTGGCATGTGTCGAAGTCCTAAGGTTTTTTTGGGGATTGTTTCCTTACAGGAATTTGTCAATCTGTATGCTGACTATATACTCAATAAATCAGTAGAAAAGCAGTTCAAGGCCTTTCGGAGAGGATTCCACATGGTGACCAATGAATCTCCTTTGAAATATTTATTTAGACCAGAGGAAATTGAATTACTTATTTGTGGAAGTAGGGTAAGAATCCTGAATTTACACCAGAAAAAGTGGAGCTTTTTTGATCCTAAGTATATAATTAGTGGTCATTTTTAAAAATGTCTTCTTACAGAATTTAGATTTTCAAGCACTAGAAGAAACTACAGAATATGATGGTGGCTATACAAGAGACTCTCTTATTATTAGGTAATTTTTTCTAATTTCTGAAAGGTTAAAAGCACTCTACATGGCTGTTTCTTCATAATGAATTTAATATTGTAAGATTAAGTATTTTTGTAGTACTGGAGATGCAAGTGTCTTACGTATAATTTCACTTTACTCAAATACCGTCATTAGAAAAAAGCAGATAGTGTAAGCAGTGTCTTTAGCTTCCAGTGAACTTTAGTAAAGCTTAAAAGGGATTTTTCCCTGGGTTTTTTTTGTCTTTCTCTTATACTATATAGTTAAATAATCCCCAGTATAAAAAGGGCTGTTTCAATAAATTACCACTGCTCTGTTGTTGTTTTAAAAAAAAAAAAAAAATCACGAATGCTGAATTGTTTGAATGGGTCACATGCATAGAACTTTCTTCTCTAATTAGAAATCAAGTAAATTCAGTGTTTTTAAGAGGGAAAATGTTTTTCATGTTTTTACCTTCTTGTCCCCTTTGACTAGAGAACTCTGAAGACAAGGGTCAGAGAAGTGTGCATCTTCAGTCCTCTAGACTTTGCCAACTGCTTAACTAGTTCCTGCTAGGGTAGAAAGCCTTTGACAGCAGCTGCATTTGTTTACTGTGGTGTTTAAGAAGTGGTAGCAATGGACAGTGTAGCAGAACCAGTATAATTGCATAGGAAACAGGAGTAATAAAATAAAGGAAGAATATCTGCAAATCCCTTATGAGCTGAATTAACATTTAAAAACAGTTAAACTGCAGTGTTTTGGTAATATTTCTGATTTTTACTTCTGATTCTCAGCGACTGGTAAATATGTCACTGTTAGTTTCGTTTTTATGAATGCAACTTGTAAACTGATGTTAAGATTGATTAGAATTACTAAACCTTCAAAGTTCAATTACTTCTGAAAGTCTCATTTATACCAAAGAAAGTTTTTGGTTTACTTACTTTTTGATTTCTTCCTTGATAGGGAATTCTGGGAAATAGTCCATTCATTTACAGATGAACAGAAAAGACTATTCTTACAGTTTACAACAGGCACAGACAGAGCCCCTGTGGGAGGACTTGGAAAGTTAAAGATGATCATAGCCAAAAATGGCCCAGATACAGAGAGGTAAAAAAAAAAAAAACCACAACCAACCAATCTACATTTTGCTCGTTTGTTTGTAAATTCAAAGTGAGTTCTGTGTTTTTAATTTATTAACTTAGTTAAATCTCAAAGTTGAATCTCTCAGCAAAGGAGATTATCTTCACTGTTCACTGTTTTGGATTTGTGAAATAGCAACGTATTTCTTTGCATGTACTGCGTGTTCCCAGATCTGAATTCTTCTTTTTTGTTTTCCTCACAGGTTACCTACATCTCACACATGCTTTAATGTACTTTTGCTTCCGGAGTACTCAAGCAAAGAAAAGCTTAAAGAAAGATTATTGAAGGCCATCACATATGCCAAAGGATTTGGCATGCTGTAATAAATATAACAAAAGGGATTAAAAAGATGATGGTGGTGATGTCCCTGTCCAAAAAGGCCATAAGATAGTGAGCTACAGTAGTCACCTGTGTTTGTGCCTCCCTTCTTTACTGGGGACATTGGGCTGGAACAGCAGATTTCAGCTGCTTATATGAACAAAATCTTTATTTTTTCTTTTAGCGTGAAAGTGTTACATATTCTTTCACTTGTATGTACAGAGAGGTTTTCCTGAATATTTATTTTAAGGGTTAAATCACTTTTGCTTGTGTTTATTACTGCTTGAAGTTGAGCCTTTTTGAGTATTTACAAGAAAACAAACTGTACTCTCCCAAGGAAAATATTGCCATCATTTGTAGACCATGTAACCTTCAAGTATGTGCTATATTTTTGTCCCTGTATCTAATCAAATCAAGAACTGTACTTTTTGAAGAGTTTGCTTTTGAAACTTGAAGTCTTGGAAAACAGTGTGATGCAATTACTGCTGTTCTAGCCCCCAAAGAGTTTCTGTGCAAAATCTTAAGAATCAATAAAGATGGAAGGGAGAACTTGGAATGTTAAATTGCAGCCTTGAGAACTTTACTTTAGTCACAGCACAACAATTAAAATTCATTTCACTATATGTTGTCTTCACATGTCTTGTAATAAATTGTGTTTTCAATTAGGAAACATTTCTTAGCATATGAAAGAGTAGAAATTTTAGTTACTTTTTTTAAAAAAGAAGTTTACTGGGGAAAGTGCATTTTCAACTGAACAGCTTTAGAGTAGGGAGTGAAGTGTTTGGAAAAAAAGATAGGAAGTTTTTGCTATATTATAAACAAAGCATGTGGAAGTGCACTTAAAATGAAGTTTTATTCTTAATTGCCTATTATGTTGACATTTTAAATAGACAATCCAAAGTCTTCCCTACGTGTGACGTCATCAGCATTTATTTAATGAATCGTTGTTCCTACTTATCAAGGCACATGATCAGTGTTGCAACATAATCTAAAGGGATGGCTACTGTATTTTGATCTCATCTAACAATAAGCAAAATTGAACAATATTAAACGTAAGGCCTACTTCATGTTGTACACTTCCAACCATTAAATAAACTGTTAGAAAGTAAGTACTAAGGTTCTGTTCATCTACTACATAAAGTATTCAGTAGTTTTTTAATTTAACTCTACAAATCATATCAGAAATAAATCCTTTACCTTTCGTAGTCTGTGTTTTAATGTTAATTTCTCCTGTTGCAATATTCGATAAAGGGATTATGCGTTTTTAAGCAAAGAGGTAACTGGCATATCTCTTTTATAATACAAGCTGCAGCGGATGTGCAGAGCTGAGCTTGTGCCTTGACAATTGCTATAACTGACTACTACCGATCAAACCCGTGGCTGTGTGGAATTGGCATTAAAAGGCACAGTTTTGAAATCATTGGAGAAAGAAAAGGTATCTTTCAGGACTATTTTAATAAATTCTTTCTAGTAATAGAAACAGACAACTGTTATGTAACTATGATGCTGAATAAAACAGTGACCTTTTTTTTCACCACGGTTCAGTGAAAAAGAAAACAAGTGACTTCCTTACTTTGATAAATTGGATATTAAATTATTTGATTAGAAAACGTTGTAGTGCAGCATAATTTGAGGATCACAGGTACGTAAAACTCTCTAGAAGTGACCGGTAGTGATGTGGAGCCCAGCGATGTTCCCCTCTCAAATCCAAGCCAATGTAAGGTGGCCTGGACGCGGGGACTGAAACTTGCTGGGGAGGGAGAGGTGCTGGCTGTCTCCTGGTCTTTGATCTCGAGGTGGCACTCAGGGCATGCCTTCTTGAATGTTCACCTCATTGCATGTCCTTCAAGAGGAAAACGCAAGATACCCTACCTCTCAGTCGGGCGGTTGACAACAGTGCATGCCGATTCCTTCAGATTTGGGGCTGCTTTTACTGTAGGTGGTGAGAACAAGATTTGCCGAGTGCCTTGAGGTGTTTTGTTATGAGCACGAACCACATCATGATACTGCTATGTGGTATGTACTACGTCAGTAGTCTAATACTGTCTAATATACCTATAACTTGGTTTATTCTGATGTAGCTATGAATGGTGGTTATGCCCAGCTGACAAGTGTGTAAGATTCACGTTGGATTTTTTTTATATATAGGTCCAAAAGCTGGGCAGACCACATAATTGGATAGCAATACGAAGTTCTCTCACTGAAGTGTTGACGTTGTAAACATGCTTTTTCTGTCTTCCTTTAGCATTAAGATTAAAATAATACATAATTGTATTGGCCTTTAAAAGCCTAAGTTGTTTTTCAAGGAATCATTTTCAGGTAAGATATGGGTATGTTATATTTGACAGGTTTCCCATTTAAACATATACCACCTCCCCCAAAATGCCACTATATTGAAGCCTTATCTCCTTAGTGGTGTTATAACTATCCTAATAGTCCTCCAGCAGCAGCAGGTTTAAAAGGTTTAAACTTTGATAAGGTTTAAAATAAATCCTGAAGTCTTGTAGCTGCGGGCTGCTCTCCTGCCCTACCATAGTTCCAGTCAGCCTTCTGTTGCTTGAAAGGTTTGTCACAGTAGGGAAAATGAGGTTTAAGTTCTTTTTTCTGGGCTCCAGGCACGCACAGAATGTCTTTCACCCTCACTTAGTCTTTGAGCAGCGTTTAGTGAATTTTAGGTCTACAAAACTTACCCCGGAAACTTGGGTGTACTTACCTGTCTCTCAAATGCCTCTCTGGAGTGAGACAGAAGACTCCTTTTCCAAGGTAGCAGTCTGATGGCAGGATGCTGGTGCTCTCTCCCCTCAGGGTGTCCTTAATACCTTAAAGAGAAAATATTTTGGGCATCTCAGCATTGTCTCATTTGACAAGTGACAAATGCCTCAGAGCATTTCCTTCTGCAGCCTAATAGACTGCCAAGGTGCTTCCAGCCTTGGTGCGAAGGGGACGTCAGGCTTTTATCTGTATTTTGGGGTATCTTATGCCTCAAAAATGATAGTAATGCAAGATACACTGAAAAGAATCATCTTAAGTACTGAACAAATACAGATTTTCTTCAGATTCCATGAGGAGTGAAGGAATAGTTTTGTTTAGCTCTAAAGGTATGTTAGCGTGTGACTCTGCATGAACAGAGCATCACCTTTTAAAAGATGAAAGCTCTTGTTTGTTGGTATAAAGATTTCAGGAGCAGCCGCCAGGAGTAAGCACAGTTCGGTTAACTGAGGAGCAGTGTTTTTGTGAACTCCCGACGGGGCTTCTCTGCCGCTCGGCAGGCAGTAGCCTGCGATGGGACTGTGGCCGCCAAGGAGACCCTCTCCAGCCCCGTGCTCTGAGGAAAGCTGATGCTGGAATGGGCTGGCGATGAGCCCCAGGCTCCAAGCAGCTCTGTTCCATTAGTCAATCCATGCCTCTCATCCAACAGTGGTCTTCACTGCTGAAGCAGGAGCTTCATACCATGTGTCATACCACGCAGGTGTGATGGACCTGACGGGCTGAGCCTCCAGGTAGCCCATTGTGCACAAGTGCACAACTTTAATTAAACTTTCAGAATTACTGAAGTGATCAAAGTTGTCACCAAATTCGCAAGACCATCAGGGACTTGAAATGAATTTTATTAAGAAATTCAGTTTTATACCGTATCGTAGGAGGGACACTGCTTTGGAAATAGAGCTGATAACTGGTATTTGCCTTTAGGTCACTTCTTATTCAGGTGAATTCATTTGGAAAACCCATGAAATAACGGCACGCATTTTTCTCTTGCTCCATCTAAAGATGTCTTTAGCTGTTGATTTTTATTATTTTTCATTAACAAAATTGAAAAGAGTGTCTGGCTGCTGGATTTCTCTAAGTAGTACTTTTAGAAGTTACTTGCCAGGTGACTTTGGCTGTATGCTGCACAGCTATAAGGTTTCTGTCTTCGTAGCTTTGCTGTCATTAAATCACCAAGTGAGGGGCTGGCCTGCAGTCGGAGGGCTTTCCTGCCGCTAACTTTTCATCCTGACGTACCACCTTGTCACTGAACATGGGAATCTCCCTCCTCCCGTCGTCCCAGAAGTTTCCAGTGCGTCTTTGGTTGAGTTTCTGGTAAGTGGCGTCGTGGCCAAGGCTGGGACGGCGCAGCTCCTTCGCTGCAGCTGCAGACCAGGTGGGCCAGGGACTGCCCAGCCTGTTGGAAGCTGCTGTGACAGAATCCGTGGGGAGCAGAAAAAGCAACTTTTTCCATGATGTGTCCATGGATTGTGCCTCCTGCAAGCTTTGCTCTCTGAAGAGTGGAAAGCGGGGTATGGTAGGTATTGGCTTGGGATCCCACATTCTCCTTGAACGGAAAGGGAATTTCGCAGGCGTAAGATTGCAAGTAGAAAAGGGCTTGTGGTCTTTGAAAGCCGCAACCAATCCTTTTTTCTCTCTGCCCCCCTGCCCCGAAAAATGTAGTATTTCTGTAACTTGGATGCAAATTCCCATTTCTCTGAAACCTACTGTATGAAACATCGGTCCCTCTTTTGCAATGGGTGGTTTACAGGATGGGCCCCGAGCGGGAGCTGGGCTCGGCTGGAGAAGTCGCTCGCGTTGGCTGGTGGGGGGAGTGAGTGACAGGGTGAGATGGGAGAGGAGGGGATGGGCTGGCAGGAAAAGTCACGGTGGGAAGAGAAGCAGTTGCAAAACGGATTTTGATTGAGAAAGCGGCTAGGGAGGATGAAGGAAGTGGAGGTGTGGTTTTGGTTTGTTTTTTTTTTTAACTGAAAGGAGGGTTGTAAGGGATCTTGGGAAGACAAGGGATGGTGGGAAGGTGGTTTTAATTGCAGGTGCGCTGCTTTGCAGTACGCATGCGTGGTTTTGTTCTGTTCTGCAGTATTTGTAGGATGCAGCCACAGAGTGGTCCCGATAAATAATTGGCAGTCTACCTAGTACGCTTGTGTTGGTGGATGTCTGGTGCTCAATAGATACCCTGCTTCAGGATTTCTATGCAGGGAAATTTCTAAGAGACACGGGCATCGGAGATACAAATAGAGGGCAGCAATGGTTATTCTTTTTTAGGATAATAAAGTAACATTAGGAACTGCTATAGTATCTTCCTGGGTAGGTTTGTGCATAGTTTTGAGACTTAAAAATGAAAGCAGAGCCGACTGCGAGAGTCGGCCAGCGATCGCTGGGATGGGACTTCTGCCGTTGGAAGGGCACGCAGCACAACCAAACGGTACGCAGCCACGCGTGCGGGGATGCTGCTGCTCCTCGCACCCGCCTGGCTGGCCACTAGTATGAGCAGTGCCAAGGGAAGATAAAAAGTGCCGCAGCTTGAAGATTTGTGACTGAACTGTTGTCATGCACAAAGCTGACGTGAAACCTTTCTTCTTAAAAATGTCACTGAAAGCTCTGGTGTACGTTTCTGCTGTGCCAGTGGGTTCCCGCATGGAGAAAATCCCTTAAATCTGTCTTTGCGCTACATCCTTTTGCTTTCAGATCTGTGTAGCACAGCAGCGCAAGCAACGATGCTCACAAGTAACTGTCTGTAAAATGGCAACTAGTTGAACATTTCTGTTCTGAGTTTTGAGCTGCGGTCCATTA